TATCACAGTATTAGAGTCTCTTTATCACAGTATTAGAGTCTCTTTATCACAGTATTAGAGCCTCTTTATCACAGTATTAGAGCCTCTTTATCACAGTATTAGAGCCTCTTTATCACAGTATTAGAGCTTCTTTATCACAGTATTAGAGCCTCTTTATCACAGTATTAGAGCCCCTTTATCACAGTATTAGTCTCTTTATCACAGTATTAGAGCCTTTCAAATGAACACCTTGATCGATGTAATCGTTTAACCTCGGACGCTTTCTGATGGACGTAAAGAATTATGTGTTCTGATGTTTGTGAGCAGAAATGGGTCTATGGAGCAGACAATGGAGCTACGAATTTGCCAATCCAAAGTTAAGAACTGTACAAAACGTGGACCTGGGTTCTATTATCTGCTCTACTTTGCTACGAAAGACTGACTCGCTATTATATAAAGACACCAAAAAAAACGGTCTAATGGTGTCCATTACAGCGTGAGTGGACTGCCCGTACGATAACCCTCACTGGGTTGCCTTGGGCGTGACACCGGCATTCTCTTCCTCCATTAGGAAGAAAGGGGAGTTTTATTCTCATTCTTAGAAAAGCATGGCTACAATTCGTAGAATAGCATGGCTACACTATTACTCTGCAGATTTCTCTGACTCGGTGGTTGGTACCATTATCATGTTTGGTCTTGATTACCGAATATTGAAACGACTTCTTTCTTTTTCGTAGGGGCCAGTATCATAGGTGGGATTATTTCCACGTTCTTGTCTGGATACATTGCTTATCATTTTGGTTGGATCTTGGATTTTCTACATCTTCGGTAAGTCATTGTTCTGAAGAGTTTTATCGTAAAAAAAAAGGGGCTGTTGGAGCAGTATTCTTCAAGTTGCTAATGCTAATAGGTGTCATAAACGAGAAGTGGCAAACGGCTTATGGCTTTTAAAGAAGGGTTTGTTCAATCGCCACTCGTTTTCCCGCCCTTTTGTGGTTTTGCCGCTGAAGACCGTTGGCTTCGATACTTTTTTGTCCTCTGGCGGCCATCTTGGTATTGTTACGTTTTGAGCTCGAAATAAATTATTTTGTTTGACGACTTATTCCTGGTTATTCAACTATTGTGGTATCGACAACAATGGCCAGTAGAGGACGATACATGCTTCATCTTATTCTCGACAGCGGTTGGATTTACCGTTTGGTTCGTTCGTAAAATGCTATATATGAAATGGCAAATAAAACACGATAAAATTTTAAAATAAAAAAAGGAGAAAGTCTAAGAACGTTAATAACATAAAACGCTGAGTGATGTAGATGGTAAAATCTATTTCACCAGGTAGTGGTGGTCTTATTTGGTCGATTCTTTGGCTCTCGGTGGTTAGTAACTCACCTTCACATCAGCTGTGGATCTCAAGAGAAGAAGCAGAGTATATTGAATTTAATTTGGATATATCAACAAAGTTGAAATGGTAAATTGGCCACCTTAACGATTACAAAAGCTGACGTTTCGACCGTTAGCCCTCGTCGAAACTATCAGCCTATATTGAATTTAGCTCAGCAGGAGATTTACAGAGTCAGGTGAAAAGAAAATATATGCGAATTTTGGCAAAGAATGAAAAGAATCTGATAAACAAAAACAATGTTTAGAGCATTTTTTATTCCTTTCATTCTCTTTCTTATAGTTTTAGATTCGTTATTTCTGGCTTCCTTGGCTTCTTGCTTACCTTTTCTATCCTATTCGCCCTCTTAACTGTTTGTCCAATTTTTCATTCGTCCGTTCATCCATCCTTTTCTGCATCTATCCATCCATCCATCTACCCACCCACCCATCCAGCTTGTCGCTTATTTTTCCATGCTCACGTGCATGCATGCGTGCGGGCATGCATTTCGATTGGTTGTTTGATTATTCGTTGATTTAATCATCATGTATGAATGTACCCATTTGTTTTTTCATTTGTGTGATTATTACTTCCCACCAGGATCAGGTTGTTTCTACGTTTATTTTGCGTTTACGGTCATGCTTATCTCATTGCTAGGACGAACCAATTCCATGGAGAGCAATCTTCACGTCTCTTCCATTTGTAGCGTATTCAAAGCATTCATTTGGCTATTTCATGCTGATATCAGAGCTTCCTTTATTCTATACACAATGACTTCATCTTGATCTTAAACAGGTAAGGCGGGGCCTGATTAAAAGTGCCCTCAATCGCCCGAGTAGCAAAATACATTGCATTGCCAGCTACAGGCCATAGATATTAAACTTACATATCGTTCATTCACCTGAATGAAAGTTCAGTGTATCTTGACAACATATGATGCGTCGATCAATTTGAAGCTCCAACATCCCATGGTTGTAGTTAGCGGAGGTTTGAGTCATCGGAACTGGTTTTGAATTCTAATTATCTTATTGATAATTAAACAGGAATCGTGCTTTTAACATTCTTGTACAATCGGCAGTGATTTTTTTATTTGTTTAACATAAGAGCTATTTGATAACGTTTAACTTGGAAAGTTTGGCGTAGGTATTACGTGTTCATAGATGTTATAACGTTCGTATCAAGCGCGATTAAAGGTTGTAGTGGAAGTTCGAGTTATCAGTGTACATTTGAGCCCAGTGAAAGTAAAATTAGTTCGAGTTAGAGGAGTCCTAAAGTACTTAGATCGATTAGTCATGAGATTAAGTGGATTTTATACTTTGTTTACAACGTACTGAACATAATACGCATCATCTGATTGGTCAATTCAGTTTCCAAGTGGAAGCCTTATAAGGTTACAGAGCCTGCATGTAATTAGTATCCGAGAAGACTAGAATATCTATCCATTTCTTGATTATACGCATCATCTGATTGGTCAATTCAGTTTCCAAGCGGAAGCCTTATAAGGTTACAGAGCCTGCATGTAATTAGTATCCGAGAAGACTAGAATATCTATTCATTTCTTGATTATACGCATCATCTGATTGGTAAATTCAGTTTCCAAGCGGATGCCTTATTAGGTTACAGAGCCTGCATGTAATTAGCTATGTCATAAAAACAATAGGATGCATCTTTTTCCCGGGCTCTATGACGTGATAAAACTGCTTTTGATGTTTGGAGAACACCTCCGGCTCGTGATTTATAAGCTTCCTCTTGTTCTCTCAACATCCTGCGTGACTTTATCACGTTATAGGACCTGGAAAAATGTGTTCTAATGCCTAAATATCTTATTTTCTGTAAGCTAAAATCCTCTTGAAAAAATCATCATGAAAATTTTCAGGGACTCCTCGGATTTGGGTTCACAGTACGACATGATCTATTCTGTTGTCGCACCGCTTCTCTGGAGCAGTCTTTCTCAGCATGTTAGGGATGCTGGATCACTTGACATCAAGTTAAAAGACGGCATAAAACCGCTCTTTTTACACGTGCTTTTTAAATTCATAAAATGATCTTGGTGTTTTTATAATCTTAACTAACTGTAATTATTTTAAACTATTTTTGAACTGTGACTTTGTAAATAGCGCCTTTGGAACCATGGAAAAGGGCGCTCTATAAATGTCTTATTATTATTAATGTCTTATTATTATTATCAGACCTGGATTGCATCGTCCATACCTCATATGGTCACACTGGCGATGTTAAATCTCGGTGGTCAAATAGCTGATTATCTTCGCAAGCATCATTTGAAAACAGGAACTGTGAGAAAGATCTTCAATACATTTGGTAAATAACTCTTACTGGCAGTCAATTTATGTAGTCCACGCTTTATAATCTAGTGCTCTGCTGGAAACGAATGATTCGTCCTCCTTTCCTCTTGTAAACTATGTGATGCCCGAAAAATTTTCAGTCCAAACCTCCCTCGTTTTTCACTCCTTCGCCACCATAGCGCTGTTCACTATTGTGCTTCGTTTCACTAACTGAACTGCTGGATCAGGCTAATCTCACCATTACTCCTTCCCTCAGCCCTTCCCCTTTCCCCCACCTTCCTTCACTCCCTCCATACTCACCTCACCATCGTACCCTCCTTCCACGCTCGAAGCCTAGTTTAGCCTGAACAGATTGTAACCTCACGTTGACACGCTTACACGATTTCCTGTTTTTCAACAGACGGTCCTAGAATGAAATATCTTTTTTTTTTTTTTCATCCCCGCAGGGATGTATGCTTTTGGTGCCACACTCTTTGTCATTTTTGGCTCAGGTGAAAAACAGTCGTGGGTGACTAACGCGGGATAGAATAAGTTACCAGAGGAAAATCCAGATGAAGTCCAAAGGCGTCGTCAACAGAATATACAGCGCGGGACTATAGAAATTGACTGGCAATTAACTGCTAACGGAGGGGGAGGAGGGAAGGTCATATGAATATTGCAGAGCATTGTGGGTAAATTTTATCGAGACACAACTAAAATTCTCCGACCTCCCCACTCCCTTAAAGCGATAAATAATGATCGGTCTCTTATCAAGTTCTGGTATGCATTTATATGCATAAGAGAAATGTAAATCAGCAGAACATTTGCTGTTGTTGACAAGCTTTGCCGATAGCGTATTTTACGGAGTACTCTACCTCAATCTGAACAAGGAAAATGATTTGCTTGATGCTTTAAGATGGTGTACAGTGAAGAAGTTATTTTTTCCAGACAGTAAGGAACGAAGGCTAACTGTAAAGAGACATTTTAGGCGACAAGGGAGTGGCATCAAACAGGGTGGTGCTTGTGGGTTCATCAACAAATTCTTTAGAATGTTTGTTCGGGAGACGTTTTGCCGAAGAAATTTTCTTTCTCTTCAAACAGTACAGTATTTTTTTAATCGACCATCGAAAATAGCGAGCCTGTCAAATGAAGGATTGGATTCAGTAGCTGAGCTCCAGAGAGCAAAATAAACCAACATTTTTTTTCTAACGATTCCAGACGTTGAAAAACAAAAAATCCAACAGCATGACAACTTATATCTAATAGAACTTATGAACTCATCGAGCGAGAGTGTTTCAGTTGTTTGTAATCGAAATCAAGTGACATTTGTGAGTCAGTTCTTCGCGATAACTATGTAGGCATGAACGTAATCCATCCCATGATCCTCCGGATGCTTGGCAACAAGATCTTCGTAACGTTTGAAGAATTCATCAACAATGGCGTCCTTCTCCTCTTGAGAGCGAGAGTCCGAGAGGCCTGTGGGAACGTTATTGAAACCAGATAGATTAGTCACTATACTTGGGAGAGGGGGTGTGTACGATTAACATACAGTAACCTCCCCGCCTCGATTAAGCTCCTTCTCTAACAGTATTGAGGTAATCATGTCATTTTTGATACTTATAAGGAAGACTACAACATGAAAAATGATGTCTTACCAGACATAAATGTTGCATTGCTCCAAGTCCTTGTCGTAGGAATGAACCAACGCGCGTGCGCTTTAGGATCACCACCGTTCTTGAGCCATTTTTCTCTGTAAGGGCAGGATACCACTTTGGTTTCTATGGAAACGAGTGACAAACCAGCTTTTCGAACGGGTGAGTCCGCTGATTCAAATGGTTTCTTAAACTCCTTTACCGTGCGATAGTAGTTTATAAATGTCGTCTTGTTGAATTCTTCCTGATTGAAAAAATAATAAAAGTAGAAATCACTGAGCACTTAAAATTCATTACAAGACCTAAAATATCGATTGCGTTTCGGTCAACCATATGTACGTTTATGAAGAGATCAATAATTTTCTCCTTAAACATCGGAAAGTTAAAGTCTCACCAGCTGTTTCGGTAAATGGAATAATGAACCTCAAAAGCCAAACAGTTGCTGAAATAATAATTACGAAGGAGTCTCTAGGAATTCGGAAACAAAATCGCGTTGATTGATAAGTTTAGTGCCGTTGTTGCTTTCTCTTATGCAGAGTTCAAGTGCTTGCTTAGTTACAAAATCGCAGAGTTTCTCAATATACTGTAATGACAACTAAGAATACCAACGCAGTTGTTTTATACCATTTGAACATGAACGCACTTTCGTACCCCTAAAATCCGAGAAACTGAAAATAGCAAAGAGTGCAATGCGAAATAGGTATGAATAAGGGTCCACATTCTGCGGCCAGTACATAGTATGCCGCGCGAGAGGACCAGAGGTCCCTGTGGTCCACATTCT